AAAAAAAAAAAAAAAAAACGTGCGGTTACTTACGTTCAGAATTTTTTTTAATCTTTGAAGATTTAGGTACATGTAAGGCTTTGTAGGAACACGCATTGAGGACATTATTTTCAATAGTATATTACGCCAACAGGGTCATATACGACTTTTGCTTCCGCGTGTGATTTGACTCGCCTTTGGCTCAGGTGTCAAACGAGGCTGAGCTTTCGCTTCGAGTGGCACACGTGATTTTTTTTATGCCTCTGTTAAAAACACGGGATTTTCTCTCAGATTTTCAAGTTGAGAGTGCAACATAAACTCTCAAGAAAAAAATCGCATTTACTGCTCATTGAGAAGTTTTTTAGTGTTTCCTTCGTGGAAATACTGTCTTGTGTCTAGTGAATACAATTTTTTTACCTGAGAATGAATGTGGAACCTACAAGCCCTAAAAACAGAAGGAAAATGTAGTACTTTACGATGAGGTATACGAAAATCGCTAATAATATCGGGTGCAGTTTTTAAAAATTTTCATGTTAAATCAAACATATTGATTTCTTAAAGTTATAAAATTTAAGGTTTACTCGTATGATGTTGAAGATGAGTTAAAATTAATTATAAATTTTGATGAGATTTCATAAATTGATTTCGAATAAAAAAGCGTATTGGGCTTGTGTGGTGTTTTCTATTTTTTTATCGCGTGTAATATCCATACATGACTCAATAACGGATTCCTCATGAGTTGAATTTTACTTTACAAATATGAAAAAAATATCCTTAGGTATATATAATATGATAATACAAGGATATGTAATTAAATTTGATATGAGTTCAAGAATTTTTTTAGCTTGAAACATACATATTGATGGGAATATTTTATCATGTAAACCGGTAGATTGATATGACCAAAATTGTGTTTCTTAGTAATTATCTTGTACAATACGATCCATAAAATAAATGAAATTATAAAATTTATTGACAATCAAATAACAAAAATTATTATTTGTCCTAATTACAAATTATACAAATATATATTTATATTTCATGATGATTACATGAAAACTGAGTATACTGTTTTTGGATAATCAAGGACGGACAAGTATAAGAGAATTTCACGTGTGTGTAAATAATTATATTTTTCGACATTTCAAAGTATAAGTGAAGCATTTGATTTTCATACATCCATAGAAATACGTACGATATTTTATGATTCACAACTTTGCGATTAATACAAATATAAAGTTAGCAAAGTTATTTTTAAGTAACAAAACTATAAATTCATTTCCATCCTTAAGCACTTGTATTGTAAGTACATTAGAAAATCACTGAAACTTTAAAATTTTTTACGCATTTAGTCAATACGAGGTTAGATAACTAGAATGTAAATTTTTCATGACTTTCAACATTCACATAATCATATCATCTTATATTATAGAAATAATCATACAATCATAAATTTAAATATTTTTTAATGACTCTATCAAGATTACGATTTATATTGAAAATATTCATGTAGGTAAATAATTAAAAAAATTATTTTCAAAAGTTTTAATAATGAATTTCGAAATTCATTTGTGTTGTTAATTTAACTCATGTACGTAGGAACGCTAAGTAAACACATTTTTTATACTTTAATAAATTATACAACAATAAGCTTGAAATATACAACGATTCAAGGTGATTGTACTAAATGTGCAATTATAACTGTGATTACATTTTTTTTGCTGAGTCTAAATTCTACAATTTAAAAAAAAAAAAAACCTAAGAAGAAGCAGATTGCGATATGTTTTATTTGAATGGATTAATCTGCAAAAACTGTCACCCATATTAGATATATAATATGACAGTCACACGATGCGGCGAGTATGTATGCTATTTATGTTAGCTGTACCTCTAAATATTAAAATTCAGAGGAAAACATTGACGCTATTGTTTCCAATAATTTGAGTGACTGCTGGCCGCATCTGCAGAGTACAAACCTTAATGATGATGATGGTTTTTTTTACTTATTTTTTTTTCGAGTTTTCTGTATGGTCTTTTAAATTGTTTAATATTAATAACATTGAAAAGAATGATGAGAAGATATTGCAAATAGTTCGGTAGGTTTTATAATGTTTGTAGTAATCAATTTCAAACTTAATTAATTGTGAGTATAATATATTGTATGTTGAATTTTAAAATTGTAAAAGACAATGGATGATATTTTTCACTTTATCATAATATTTGTAAGACTTCTGTTACCAGCATGATTTTTTATAACAATGGTAAAGAATTTGTTATTTAGTATAATTAAGAGGTAAATGACATAGTTACGACAATCGTTTGATTACTAAAAATTCTTGTAATTAGTCGATAAAAATTCTTAAAAACTTTTAATACGAATTTGAATTGATGTTCATCGCCCTGGAAATATGAGCCAATTTATGCAAAAAAATCAATATATTGATTGATACAGAGTTTGATTTTTAAAATGTGGTACTTGAAATTTTTGCACAATTTTTCTCAGGTAAGTAAAAAAAAAAGTTGACAAAATGTTTATCAGTGATCAAC